AGTTCCATGAATTTTTTTTTTTTTTAAAAAAAAAAGTTAGTAATTTGTTACTAGTTTCGTGGTTCTTTTAGTTTTCTCATTACGATCTTACTTGAACTTATTATAGGAACCTGAATGCTCCAAGATTTTTTATTTTTTTTTTTTAAAAAACAAAAAGGTTAGTAATTTGTTACTAGTTTCGTGGTTGTTTTGGTTTTCTCATTACGATCTTACTTGAGCTTATTACAGGAACCTGAATGCGCCGAGATTTTGAGCTTCATGAATTTTTTTTTTTTAATAAAAAAAAAAAGTTAGTAATTCTCTATTAGTTTCGTGATTCTTTTAGTTTTTTTTATTGTAATTCTACTTAACTTATTACAGGAACTTGAATGCGCCGAGATTCTGAGCCCCAAGAATTTTTTTTTTTTTAAAAAAAAGGTTAGTAATTTGTTACTTTTCTCATTACGAATGCGCCAAGATTCTGAGCTTTTAATTTTTTCATTACGATTTTACTTGAACTCATTACAGGAACCTAAATGCGCCACGATTCTGAATCAAGAAAAAAAAATAGTACAGTCAGACCCTTCTAAATGCAACCTCCTAAATGCACGCCTTATGAAAAGACATTCTAAATGCACGTCTTCGCTTGGGCCCAACTAATATAAAACTTATAGATTTTTACCTCCCTAAATGCAATATCTCTCTAAATGCACGTTTGACTAAATTTTTACATATGGTCCCGTCACAATGCACTTAGAGAGGTCTGACTATAGCTTTTCATTAGGGTTTTTTGGTTGTTTTTGACTCTTTTTTTTTTTTTATTGCGTTCGTATTTTGCTTGAGCTTATTACAGGCACATGAATGGTTGTGTTGTTAATTTGAACCTATTGTGGCATCGAGATTCTATTCAAAAAAAAAGGGTAATCTATTAGTTAGGTATAGCCATCATTTTCCACTTTAAATTCTCAAAAGTATTCGGGGGGTTCATGGTTCTTTTAGTTTTCATTATTGTTTTACTCTGAACTTATTACAGAAAATCCAAATGCGCTATGATTCTAGCCCCGATTTAAAAAAGTCAATTTGATATTACTTAGTTTCGTAATTTTTTTAATTTTTATTAGAGCCAAAATTTACTGATTTATGTACCCCAAAGAAATTCGGAATTTTTTTTATTTTAATAAAAAAAAAGCATTAACATTTATATAAAATTTATATAGTGTTTGGAAAAATTACATTTAAATTTTAAAATAAAAAAAATTAAAATCTTTTTTCATATATAGTTTAGCAAATGCAATGTAGCAATATAGAGTTCCAGAAGCAAATTCTGGCCACGATCTATTGCATATTTGTATCGCAAGTTTATCATCAAATTGATGACCATCAAAAGGTCTTCGTACAGTCGACTTTAAAAAAAAACAAAAAAAAAAGGAAAAAAAATTTAAAATCCTTTTTTTTTAAAAAAAAAAAATCCAAAAATTTTTTTTTTAAAGAAAAAAAAATATAAAAAATTTTTTTTTTAAAGAAAAAAAAATCCAAAAATTTTTTTTTTTAAAAAAAAAAAATTATGATTTTACAACTTTGATTCGTTTAATTGGAACAGGCGTTTCCTTTCCATCAATCTCAACAATCGCCGTGTGATTATTCGAAGTTAGCCTTATGAAAGTGCCTTGTTGTGAAAACGTTGGCTGTAGTTTTCTCTTTCTGGTTTGTGGGTTGGTGTCATGGTCTGGTGCGATATTAACCATAGTTCTGGCCTCAATTGTATTATTTGCCGTTTTTTTTCTATGAACGCTTCCTTGTTGACACATTTTTGTGTAGTATTTTCCTAGCGTAATATTTACCGACTATAAAAAAAAAAAAAAAAATTAAAATTAAAATCTAAATTCAGTATTATACTGCTTACTCTAGCTAACCTCATGAATTTTTGACACTTGTAAAACATGTTGTTCTATAACGTTATTAGGAGTAAATGTTTCCGAAGCATCTCTGTTTGATTCTTCACTCATTTCATCATCCTTATTATTATCTGGTGTTTCATTATCATAATCATTATCGTGTGCTTCGTAAACACTCATTTCGTTATCCTGATCATTATCTGATATTTCGTAAACACTCATTTCATTATCCTGATCCTTATTTGGTGTTTCATCTGGTGTTTCGTAGACACAATGCATTTTCCAACCAAACATAACTTCATGAGGTGTGCGATTATGTGCAGTATGTACAGTTGAATTATAAGACATTACGAAAGCATCTAATACATTAATCTAATCTTTTTTTTGAAGCTGATTATTACGATCCCACAGCAATTTTGTGAAACCTCGACCAACTGTCTGGTTAAGGCGTTCTATCTGTCCTTGGGACTGGGGGTGGTGGGGGCGGCCATGTTTAAATCTGATATTGAGAGTTTCACAAACTTGCTTAACGATCCCTTTAAACTCTTTTCCGTTATCACTTTGTAAAACTAATGGTGGACTGAGAATTCTAAAAACGTCCTTAACTAAATGTACTGCAACTGTACCTGCTTCTTTGTTTTTCATAGAAATTGCAACGAGATATTTTGAAAATGTACAAACACATGTAAGTAATCATGCAAACCCTTATTCACATTTTTAAAATCATGAAAATCAATTAAATCGATTTGGATGTGCCGCCATGGTGCCACAGACGTAACCGATTTCATATTGGTTCATTCTTTAATGGAAGAATTAATGGCGCAAACTGAACATTCGTTAACGTAAGCCTGAACCTCAGTTTGCATAACACCAATATGTTTTTCAGAAAGGGCAGAAAATGTTTTATGATAATTTCGATGATTTGACTGGTCATGAAAGTTTTTAGTAATAAAACACGCAACTCTACATCATATTTAGGAATTACACGCCGTCTATCCGATACCATTTCACTATTTTTAAAAACGGCAGAAAGGTAAAGAATCTCATTTTCATCTAGTTCAAACTTTTTACAACGACCTTCAAATTTACATTTTGCCACGGGATCATAGATGGTCTCAGGTATTTTTTTTGATTTAAGATAATCAACTATATCCTTGTATTCGGTTGGTGTTCCGGGAAGTTTTGGAATTGCCGGCATAGTTAGAGTTAAAAAAAAATACCGGTAACGCCATTTAATTTATACTATGATCACGTGCAAAAAAATACATAAATCACATTAGAGGGTTAGGTTTAGTAAACATGTGACGCGTATTAGGGTTAGCAAAACACGTGGCACATAGTAGGGTTAGGGTTAGGGTTAATGTGTATTAGAACCAGTAAATTACATGACGCTCTGCCCTGTAGCACATTTTCTCGGCACATTCAAATTTTTTAACTACTAAAACTAACCATTTTTTTCAGAATTCAAGGTATTCAGGTTCCTATAATGAACACGAAGAAAACATTACGAAACTAATAAAAAAATTACTAGCTTTTTTTGAAAAAAAAAGCTTGGCATAAAACCTCTGTGCATTCAGGTACCTGTAGTAGGTTTAAGTGAGAATACAATAAAGAAAATCAAAGGAACTACGAATCTAATAGCAAATTACCTTTTTTTTTTTAAATAACTCGGGGCACAGAATTTTCGCATACTCAGGTTCCTGTAATAAGTTCAAGTAAGATCGTAATGAGAAAAGTAAAAGAACCACGAAACTAGCAACAAATTACTACCCTTTTTTTTTTTAAAAAAAAAATTCTTGGGGCTCGGTAATAAGTTCAAGTAAGATCGTCATGAGAAAACAAAATACCGTAAATCGCCATATAGAGTACCCCCTTGATAGTGTACCCCATTATAGACCCGGGTATATTGCAGGGTTGAAAATTTGGTGAAATGTAAGATACCCCGGGTACATTAGCTGGTGATTTATATGAAAGTTATCCAGAACAAGTAGAAATCCTCCAATTATCGTACCCTCTTTCCCTGCAATGTATCCCCCCGAGTATAGTATAGGTTTTTGATCGGTGGAATGTAACGTACCCGGGTACTCTATATGGCAATTTACGGTAACCACGAAACTAGTAACAAATTACTACCTTTTTTTCGTTAAAAAAAAAAATTCTTGGGGCTCAGAATTCGGCGCATTCAGGTTTCTGTAATTAAGTTCAGGTAAGATCGTAATGAGAAAACTAAAACAACCACGAAACTAGTAACAAATTACTAACTTTTTTTTTTTAAAAAAAATAAAAAATTCTTGGAGCTCAGAATCTCGGTGCATTCAGGTTCCTGTAATAAGTTCAAGATCGTAATGAGAAAACTAAAAGAACCACGAAACTAGTAACAAATTACTTACCTTTTTTTTTTTGTAAAAACCCCCGGCGCAGAATCTCTGCGTATTTAGGTTCCTGTAATAAGTTCAAGTAAGATCACAATAAAGAAAACCACGAATCTAATAGCAAGTTACTAACCTTTTTTAAAAAAGTAACTCAGAGCACAGAATATTGGCATATTCAGGTTCCTGTAATAAGTTCAAGTAAGATCACAATAAAGAAAACTGAATCACGAAACTAATATCAAATTACTAACCTTTTTTTTTTAGAAAAAAATCCAGTCACAGAATCTCCGTGTTCAGGTTCCTGTAATAAGTTCAAGATCACAGTAAGAAAACTAAAAGAATCACAAAACTAATAGTAAATTACTATTTTCTTTAAAACCAAGTAGTACTGGCATATCAGGCTCCCTGTAATAAATTCAAGCCAATATAAAAATATTGAAAAGTATAGAGTAGCGAAAACTAATAGCAAAACTACTAGCCTTGTTTTTTTTTTCTTAAAACTTCGCATACTTGGATCTCTGTTATTTAGATAAAAAAAAAAAAAACTATGAAAATTAATAGCTAACTACTAATGTAAAGCACTAGGATTTCATTTTAAGTAGAATCGTGACAGTTGATAAACTACCAACCTTTTTATCCTTAAAATCGCTTGACACTTTCAAATATTGATCATTGAAAAAAAAGACTAGCAAGCCTAGTAATTTTTTGAATCATAAAGATTCGTAAAACTAAGAGAACCACATAGGCTCCTAATCTTTTTAGGACGCTGCTCAATTAAGGAAATCTCTTTTTAAATCTGACGGTATTATGACACACATCATTTGATGATAGTAGATGACTGACGTAATCAAATTCGACAATTGCAGATGATCATCATTTATCACGTGATTTCCAGCATCAGCCGTTTCCAGCATCAGCCGCGACAATAGTTATAGGCAGTATTGTTATAGAACAGTTGTGGACAGTAAGTTTGAACACTTTGGACAATTTTGGACAATTAAATAAATTAAAATTACTCAAAATTTTAT